AAATACCTTGGACACGTCTGGTAGCACTACTGTATACTCATACAGACATTCAGATCGTATCACAATGTTTCAGTCTCATATCCCATGTTCTATAAAGCAAGGCACTCCAAAGTGTTAGTTATATGCATAATTTTTGGCCTTTATGTATGCTTATGTTGTCTCAGATGCTACCAGACGTATGTACATGGACGTGTTGGCATGGCCCCACTTTCTATCAACTCGGTGCTCGGGGGTCACTAGAGCACACGCCAAAACAAATACCTTATGTCATGCGAATGGACAGCCTCACTGAGTCGTGCGGTTAAGTTCAACCGCAGGCAGTGTTAATGTTATGCGTGTGACTTGCTCAGAAGAACCAAGGTCTTCCACAGTTACTTGTATCAAGATACTAAAGGGAAAATATAATACCTCTCTGACAAACTTATTAGTCTGTGATTATTTCCTTATTTGCCACTCGTGTTTCAGCTTTCCCGTAAAAGTAAAGAAATACTGTATATCAATATATCCACAGTAATGCTGTGTTGGGAGTTTGCTCAAGTACAATAATCTGTAAGCAAATGGCTGTACGTGGTAAAGCAGACGTGTGGAGGTCGTGCAGCTTTATTACACGAATTATAGTTTAATAACATAATTTGTACTTCAATTGAGACCACAGGTTTAGTTCAGTATTACAGTAATAAATTTCACCGTGGACAGTGATACTTTGTAAATTAGTTCACCTAAGCACAGTGAGGTACAAAGTTACAGAGGTGGTGTGGTTAATGATCGGTTAAATCGAGTTACATCAAAGTACAAAATTTAATGATTTAAATTCACTTATTTTTGACGATTGTTCTTGTGACATTTGTATTTTCTTCGGAATCTTACAATTATCTTTCAGTAGTGTTATCTGTTGAAACATTCAAAATTTTTTATTATAATTATAACCGAACATTTACAGCTAGTCTTACAAATAGATGATGAATGATCCGTACATAAATAGAACTAATGGTAAAGAGATATTGACATCTTCCACTATCTCAGATCAGTTGTTTGTTCTTTGACTATCAGTAAATTACCTACGTTAGGTTTGATTTAGGTTCTGAGACAATACGCAAAGTGGTTAAGTTATATTTGTTTAGATTCTGAGTCTATTACTAGATTTATTTCAATAACATTAGAATTGTTTACAGGTTAAATTAGGTTGGATTAGTTTCTAAGCTTATACGCAAATGTAGTCAGATTAGTTTTAAGTTCTCGATCCGAGGTTTAGTGAATGCATGTCACCAGATACTGTTACAGGGTGGGGAAAAAGAAGCATTAGGTCAATAGAAAATAGTTCAGACCTACATAAAATTTCATGCATCACCAAAGTAATATTTATCATCCCGCCTCCTGCCCGTCATGGTAACACCGTTTACCGTCACCGGCAAATATTCGATGCTATTTTGTCTAGTTCGAGATTGTCTAGTGAAGTTTAGTTCGGTAGGAAGTTGTCTAGTGAGATTTTGTGTGGTGAAAGTGAACGCGAGGTAGAAAGTTGGGCGAAGATGAGTGAGAACGGGAACACAGATTCTCAAAGTTTCTTTAGTTTATTTCTCCCTTGCTGGTGATGTGAGAACGTTGCAGGCTGGTACATTTATCTTTCAACACAAAGATGGATTTACAGAAATTTTTACGTGAAATTATTCCCATCTGTAGGTATGACATCTCCTAAATGGCATACCAAGTCTTCGAAACAAAGAAGTGTTGTAAAATAGTTTTAAAATTACATTAGGCTTGTGGTTAACGAGGTTTTTTATTTATTTATTTTTTGTTTTGTTTTACGTCAAAAGAGAAAGTGTTGAGTTACATGTCTTGAGAATCCTGACCAGGCTAACGAATCTACTAATAATACAGTTGCTTAAAATGGTACTAGGTAAATTTAAGAGACACTATATAGGGTGTTTATATGATTAATTATAATTACGTCTAAAAAAAACATAATTTATCTGAAACTTGTCTTTTAATTGACTTCTCATGCGGTGTCCTAAGTCTAAGTCAAGATTCTCAAATATTCACTTCTAAGGTTATTCTCCTGGTGTTAATTCGACATAAATTTTCGTTGCCATCGATATGTGCCTTGATTTGTTCTTACGTCACAAATTATTGGGAAAATTTATTATACTGTACGTAACTGTACCTTTACGAGTTCATCTTTATGACTTACCATATGTGAACCAGTTAAAAATACATTCTCGCATCCCTAGTTAATGGGAAATTATTGTGGGAACATATAGACCTGACACAGATACCACCCGATAGGCTTTCAAATTTTCAATTTCAATTGTTTATTTCTTGATAGAGGAAGCGGGATCCTAGTGCTGTCACTAGGTACCCCTGTACAACGATACCAGAAGCATCTGGCAAGTGTGACAAGTATATACAGTATAAATATTATAAAGGTGCTTACTAAAGCCTAAGGAAGGAAGGATATTCCTTTAACACATAATCAATGTTATTTACATAATATCTGGCCAATATGGGGAGGATCATCGTGCCTCCGTCAGGGGGTCGTGGAGTGGTGGTCCAGCAGGCGTCAATGAAGCGTTGTGTGTGGGGACATCTTAGGAGGTAGTGGATAAGGGTGCTGCTGTCGGGTCTTCTGCATAATGCACAAGAGCGTTGCTCAGGGGATGCGGGGATACCAATCTCCCAAGCAAAGTCATACCCAATGATGATACGGGCAGCAATCACGTCCCCTTTCCGCGACCCTTTCCCGTAGACGTACGAGAGGTCAGGAAGTTTACGGATGACATCGTACCAGGTGGGCGGGGAGTCCAGGGGGATCGATAGGCTTAGTGGAAGCTTGACCTGACCTTCTCTCAAGCTGTTTACCACAACTTATTTTTAGTTTATATCCCGCATCAGCCACAAAAGAGACTTAACAGGCAAAGTCTCACTGAACAGAATTCCACCGTACTAAAATCCCACCAGACAATTTTTCACTGACTAAATACTATCACACTAAAATTCTATGAATAAAATCACACTGAAGTTCCAATTATATTATATAAAGTTTGCTACGCTCACTTAAGTTAGGCTAGACTATACAGTACTAGGTTACGATATGCTAAACTAGATTATATTGTGCTGTGGTTAAGTTTAGGCTATTATTCTATGGTTAGATGAGCCTAGGTTGTGCTATGTTTAGTTTAACCAAGTATGTTTAATTTAGCCAAGTCTAGGTTATGTAGGCGAGGCTAGGTTATGCTGTTTAGGTTAGTCGAGGCTAGGTAGTTGGAGTGTGTCCCGTCGGTGATAAACTCATTTCTATGCCTCTAGCTATGGTAAGCGAGAGTACTGTAGAGTAAGACTCGTTTTCTAACAACAATTTTACCTAGTCAAACCGTGCTTATGGCAAAGTTAGTTTAGGTTATATCTGGCTACATGTTACTGGAGCACCTTACGTTAAGTTAAAGTTGGATTATAGAAGATCAAGTTAGGGTAGGGTATATTAAGTTACATTGCGGTGAAATCATGTAAGTTAGGATGGATTAATAGATGGTAGACTTGGATAATAAGAAGGTAAATTAGACAGGATTTTTACATGCCATAAGTGACGTTCAAAATATACGGTACATTCAGGCTGGGGGTGACGGGCTGGTGACGTTATGGGTCAAGACCCCTAGCGTCGGTTCCCGCCATTACCGGAAAAGACTTTCTTCGTCGGTCGCTTTGTTTACCCGCGTCCCACGACCATATGTGAAGGAAATGTTGTTTACATGCATTAAATACCACCTTCATTAGAATAATTGGCTGCTAAATCACAGACACGTTCCTCTCTCCTCCCCCAGTCATAGTCTACGGTAATTATGGATCTTTTGTATAGTTCGTAGTCTAGTTAGTACGTATAGTAGTCTTTGTTGTGGACGCTATCACCTGTTTTTTTTTGCATTCGGAGCCTCCCATATTGTACAGATTATTTAATAATTTTGGTCATGTTTAAAATTATCTAGAAATATAGATAGAAATGAAGACTTTATTCTATGCACTAGAAGATGTGTAAAAGAATAAGAGAATGTTAAGAGTAAGAATTTACGATAAGAAATAAATGAAGATTTAGGTGTGGTAAGATTGTATTGTGTAGGAATACGAAATAATTAAGGTTAATAAGTGATAATTACAGTTTAAAGAATGCTATGATATTCACTAGGGCGTGTGTGGGATTGGTGAGGGCGGAGGGCGAAGGTGATGTTTGGTTATGGCGGTTGGCCCACTTACCCAGAGAGGAAAGGAATGACCCGGATTTTCAAAGGTTCGTGCGATAATTTTTACACCTAACTAGAGATGAGGGAATGCTATATAATGATCTGATTTACTGAAGCCAATATGGCGTCACTATTACACAGAAACTCTTAACACGATAATCCCGCGCCTTCAACCATCTCGTTAATCGATGTTAATATATCGTGTGTATACTTTAAACTGACTCCAGTATTCATTTACATGTATCCACATTTTAATTTGTTACAATTCATTTGTGATCGCAGGGCTGTTGACGCTTATTGCACTATATATATACCGAGTTATTACGTTTAATACCGTCATTGCGGGTATATAAAGCACTATGTGAGAGTACTATTCTTTATTGGAAATTTGCTGGAACTATTTAGCCCTAACGGTTGTGCTTTCTATTGTAATTATTTCTCAACAGAAAGCACAGAAACCGAAGTGAAAGTTTGGGCCAGCGGGTGGCAACATCGGCGTTACTAGAACAGAACGTGTGTCGTTACCTAAAGAATTAATTTCAGAATGTTTCGTACCGACAAATTCTTATAACTTACCGGGATTTTCTCGACAGCCATGGGAAATTTCGTTAAATTTCTTGGCTTACTGGATAAATCTAGATAAATTAATATATGTATTAAATGTGGATATTAATGGTGCCGGGATGAACGAAAGTTATGCGGTTGTTTGCTTCCTTGTGTAGATCGTTCACACGCGTTGGGAGTCAGCGAGGTGACTCAGTTCTCCTCACAGATCGTCCTCAGACTCCGTGGTGTAAACGTTGGCACGGCTGCTTCTCTCCACGCGACTGAAAAACTTTTAAGTTTATTTTTTTTAGTGTAAAACGAAGATTACTAACTCAAATACGGATGTGATTATCATATTATTCTGATTGTGATTAACACGAAGTCTTAAATAAGGTGAGGAAGTTTTGATTTTGCAATAAAAAATAAATTGTTTACGATTCTCGGTTCATCATAAGTTATCTTTGTATACCAAATAATTGAATTACTGTCAAATTATTTTAGCAGTAGAGTTTTGGAAATTTTGAAAGTATGGCGATTATAAATGGGTGCAGTTATTTGGTTTAGATACTTCTAATGGTAAAGGATAATATCAGGTAAAGTCAACCCAGTGCATCTCAACCAACATAGGTATAATATTTCTCGATCAGGTGTTGCTCTTGCCTCTCGATCTACACTACAGAAAACAAACTTGAATCACCTGAAGATTAAACACCCCAGATTGTTTCACTTGATGGCTAAACACCCTTAACCACCAAAGGGGCTAATCATCTGGTGAGATAAGATTACTTGTCACAGCCCCACTACGAAAGTGGAGTAAGTTACTTTGATAGTTACGATGTTATTTACTTAGACTTTAGCAAAGCATTTGACAGAGTACCGCATCAGAGGCTTCTGAGAAAAATTAAGGCTCATGGTATCGAGGGGAAAGTTTTAAATTGGATAAAATCATGGCTCACCGATAGAACACAGAGGGTCAGCGTAGATGGTGTTAAATCTGAGTGGGGCCGTGTAACCAGTGGGATTCCCCAGGAGTCAGTACTAGGCCTACTCTTGTTCATAATCTACATAAGCGATCTAGATACTGGGATCAGCAGTGACATAAGCAAGTTTGCGGATGACACCAAAATAGGGCGGCAGATTAATTCAGGGCAGGATGCAAATGCATTACATCAGAATCTAAATAAACTGCAGGGGTGGTCTGAAAAATGGCAAATTAAATTCAACACCAGCAAGTGCAGTGTACTTAATATTGGAAGAACAAATACTGACAATGTATACAGCCTTAATAACATCAACCTAGAGAAGTCGACTCGTGAAAGAGACCTAGGGGTACTTGTAAGCCCGGACCTACGGCCTAGAAAACAGAGCGTTAATGTTCGAAATAAGGCAAACACAGTATTGGGTTTTATATCTAGAAGTGTAAGTAATAAGAGTGCAGAGGTCTTATTGCAACTATATCTTGCGCTAGTCAGGCCGCACCTCGATTATGCGGTTCAGTTCTGGTGCCCCTATTATAGAATGGATATCAATTCACTAGAGTCGGTGCAGCGAAGAATGACGAAAATGATTCCGGGACTTAGAAACCTTCCATATCAGGATAGGTTAAAGAAACTTAATTTGCATTCCCTAGAAAGACGAAGAGTGCGGGGAGATATGATAGAAGTATTTAAGTGGGTGAAAGGAATCAATAAAGGGGATATAGATAAAGTTCTTATAATATCCGAGCAGGATAGGACTCGGAGCAACGGATTTAAGTTGGATAAGTTTAGGTTTAGGAGGGAGATAGGAAGAAACTGGTTCACAAATAGGGTGGTGGACGAGTGGAACAAGCTTCGCAACTTTGTAGTAAGTGCTGGAACTCTGGAAGTTTCAAAAGGAAGCTAGATAGATTCATGGATGATAGAGAGTGGTAGTAACTCTCGACAGGAGCTGCCATGCACAGGCAAAACTCAAGGTTCCAGAACTTACAATGAGAAACGTTGGTGGGTGTGTTCATCACTTGGAACAGCAACGTCCATAATTATACATCGATCTGTACAGTCTCAAAAAATATATTGCACAAGTTAATTGCCTGGTATCGGTGGATTTGGAAAGAAAATACTTTAGCCTATGCGAGGTAACTTTGTACACCCAGTCATCATCACTAGGACGTGTTCAAGCTACAGTGTATTGGAAACTTGCCAGCGTATGAGTCAGTATTTGTTGATTTGTGCCACTCATCTACAATTGTATTTAAAACCGGTTTACTTATCTGTTTCCTAACTAGACATCAATTTATCTTAATTTATTTCATCGAATGTCGCTATGTGGGCAACGTTTCAGCATACAAAATGCTTGTGTTCTAATTAACATTTTCACACCTCAGTAAACTAAACTATTACCGAATCTTTATGATTAGTGGTTGTGTTTTTTGAAGATGAAATCAGTTAGGACGCCCCCTTCATTTACATAATTGTAACGCCTCTTGGCCAGAGAGTTCATCTACTGTTTGCACGGAAGCACGCACGTCAACAATAAGAGTGGCTGAGAAGGAGAGATGGAGGGCTGGCGAGGGTACTTAGTATGTCAAGTGTTATTAGAAAGTCACATTCAACTAGGTGGCTTCAGCTCGCGTTCTCATGGCTCATTCATTAACTTATAGAGAATGTCTCCCGCGGGCACACACGCGAGTATACCACGATAGATTCTCAGAGGTTTATACGCAATTTTCCCTCAAAATTTGTGGTGTGAAAATATACCTATAACCAATAGATGTCCGTAAGCTTCAATACAAAGCTTGGGGCTGAAGTTTCACAAGAATCTACCCCAACTAAGCGTATTAGGTGCCACTAAAGCGTGCGGTCTACCTCGGATATCTACACTGTAGGCTGCAATTTAGTATTGATATATAGAGGGTAGTATTATTTATTATATAGTAGAGTTTTATGATAAAAAACAAAATAGTGATAAATATATTTTTCATGATCATCATATAAACAAATCATATAAAGATGTTGAATAATAGCATAATATTAATGACAAACTTCGTATTATATTCTTTGTAAATGATAAACCTAACCTAACCCAACCCCCTTTTATAAGGTTGGTTAGGGTCCTGGTGTTCAGGTCAGGTCATACATAAAAGCGAGTGACAGGGGGGAAAGAGATTCAGGGGAAGGATAAAGGGGGGATAGAAGTGAATTTTAGAAGGAGAGGGTCAGGTCAGGTCAGGTCCGTCGACTACGGATATTGTGGTAGACCGCACGCTATAGTAGCACCGCGTATTATCTCCTTAGTAATCCACACACATTTGCGGAGACTCAATGGACTTATTTGGGAGAGTTCTGGATCTGAATCACAAGACAGACCTGACCTCGGTTAACCCTTCGCCCAGGTGTTGCGACCCATGGGGTGACCTGACTTGCCCTTCCACAGAGAACAGGAAACGCCTCATTGTAGTAACTCTCTCTGGACTGGTTTCTGCGACAGCCAACTGGTTCACAAGTATCAGGACCATAGTGGTGTTACCTAGGCTGAGTATCCTGTCTCACCTGCAGGAGCTGGTTATGTTCAGTTAACTCTCAGTATAAAACTATATATACATTTTTAAAACTAATATTTCTATAATTTCCTATCACCAATGAGATGTCTCTTATTTAATATTAAATTGTTGTTGCCGTGTGTGTAATTTGATGTATATTTAAGCCTTGAAGGATTTAGTTGTTGAAGCGTTATTCTTGTGACAGGTTTCTGACAGTCAACCTTTCTGTATTCGAAATTTAATGTAAATTGCGAATTACATATTATTTAAAGATCTTTTTTTTAACATTTACGTACTTGTGTACTTGTGGTGGTCTTGCTAACTAACTCAGTAAGTAAGATTATCAAGAGAAAGTGGATTTTCTTGCTTTTCCGGTGATGGTATTGGAAAGGAGCCGGGGGTCAGTACAAGCACGTCCGGTTAAGATGGAGTGAAAGGGAAACATCCGGAACAATCCAGGAGCCGGATGCTCAATTATTATTTTCCTAACATGTGGTGGAAAGAATGAGTCCCAGATACAGTTAGAGGTTTAGTGTAGTTTAGACACCACCGTCGTGATGTAACCGAAATGAATTGGTAATCTCTGTTTTCCTATTACAAGTTGAGGGAAAATCTGTTTATGAATTTTTGAGAACTTATATTTGCGTCTCTTAGCTTAAGTAAACCATCGAAATGTGTTTTTATATCACCATCAACAAGAAAATTTAACACTGAACCAGCTGTTTGAGAGTTAGCCGCCACACACCTTTCCGAGGCCTCTCCCACCCAAGGTATAAAGATATACTGTACTACCTTGCTCACACCAGTCGTACGCACCCTGATGGGGGAGACCTCGGAAAGGTGTTTAATTGCATCGTAGCTTAAGGGAATAAGTTTGAGTCCTACCACGAGTTAAGAGGAAATTTTAACGTACGAATCTTACAGAAAGTGTAATGTGAATCAAGGAGACATAATCCCGTAGCAGTAGTTAAGACAATATGGAATTGGCCAATCTTTGAAGCTATGGATTTAGGCGAGCCTATTAGTCATTTCCTGACCACTCCTCTCTCTCTCTCTCTGTCTCCCGCTTTCTCTTTTTTCTCCTTTCTCTTATACAGTAGTTTATATTTTCATGGTTATCTAATAACTGTCCATTTATCGTCTATTCGTTTATTATTTTGTTTGTTAGTTTTCTACATATGTTCATAGTAATGTTTTTTCTATGCCTTTATTTTTTCCTTCATAATTAAAATTGTTTATATATATATATATATATATATATATATATATATATATATATATATATATATATATATATATATATATATACTGATATCAGTTTATATTCATCGTCGCTAAAACTGGTGGTGATTGAAGTTATTCCGTAACTAAATTTGGATGTTTAGAAAAATAATCGGCAAAATTGTTCTCCAGCAAAAATGATTTGAAAGTTAATATGGTATTTTCTCGCTGGGAAATTATTTTATTCATATTTACAATTATTATTGTTTTGTTACATACACACACACACACGCACACATTCACCCCCCACACACACACATACACACACGCATACATACTGTAGTTACACACACATTGAAGTACACTAGTGTGTGAGAGAGAGATGTTGCTCACGACAAGGATGGTGGTTCCTACAGCCATCTTCACCCAACACGTTTTTGCTTCCACTGTGAGGTAACCGTTCAATGACCCTGTGATACCGTTTGTCTCTCTCATTTCGTTTGTTTATCATCAATACACCGGGTTCTGGTCCTCCAGCATGATAAATCTCCCATGCCATCGAAGCGTAAGAATGTATCGCTTGAAGTTAGGATAACCCGGCTTATTTCACCTGGTGATTCAGGCACCCTAACGTTCATCACGTGATATAAGCAGGTGTGTCTAATCACCAGGTGCGCCGAACTAGCTGACGTGTAAACAACCTCCATATTGACACGTAAATACAGAGACTGCTTTTAACTGCATCTGTTCACTTGGCACCAATTCAGGAAAAAAATTATCGTTAAGAATCTTTGTGAAACCGAAAAAAAAATATTTTCTATATATATATATATATATATATATATATATATATATATATATATATATATATATATATATATATATATATATATATATATATATATATATATATATATATATATATATATATATATATGTATTATTTTTTTTCACATAATCGTCGTAAATTACTGGAAGCAATAGTTTCAAACTCTATTCGAACTCACCTGGAGAAGCATAAGTTGATCAGTGATTCCCAACATGGCTTTACAAGCGGACATTCATGTCTGACTAAACGGGACTGCCCAGTATGGGCCAATAGGCCCGCTGCAGTTTCCTCCATTCTTATGTTCTTAATCTATTAACATTCTTTTCAGCTGTTTTCGAATCAGTGGACGACGAGCACAATTATGATGTGATATATCTCGACTTTAGCAAAGCCTTCGACAGAGTCCCCCACGAAAGACTAATACTAAAAGTGGAGGAGGCTCATGGCAATGGAGGAGATTTTCTAAAATGGATTAGGGCGTGGTTCCAGGACAGAAAACAGCGAGTAAGCATTAACGACACTAAATCCGATTGGAGTAACGTCACTAGTGGAGTACCCCAAGGCTCAGTACTTGGACCATTATTATTTATTATATACATAAACGTCATAGATATAGGTCACCGTATTACAGAGGAGATTGACAAGACTAATCCCTGGCATTAGGTACCTTGAGTACAGAGACAGGTTAAAGCATCTTAATTTGGACTCCCTCGAAAGACGTAAAGTGAGGGGCGATATGATTGAAGTGTATAAATGGAAGTCGGGGTTAAACAAAGGTGATATAGCAAAGGTACTCAAACTATCCAACCAGGAGCGAACTCGCAGCAATGGTTTTAAATTAGACAAATTTAGATTAAGGTGCGAGATAGGTAAACATTGGTTTGGAAATAGAGTAGTGGATGAATGGAACAAGTTACCAAACATCATCATTAACTCGAATACGCTGGATAGCTTCAAACATAGGTTGGATGGATATATGAGCGATAGGGGTTGGGTGTAAACGGGAATGCCCAGTATGGGCCAATAGGCCCACTGCAGCTTCCTCCATTTTTATGTTCTTATTTTCCTGATATAGCCAACTCATAATGCGTGGTCCCTGCCAATGAATGAAGGCCTGTGTTGCTGGATGGTTTATTATCAACTAGAAATGAGATGAACTTTCAAAGTGAGCACCAGAAAATAAAATAATAGAAATGAACCCAAATTTGTGGAGAAATTAATATAACCCTGAACACGAAAAGGGAAGTTAGGATAGGTAAGGTGAGACTAGGTTCTGTGTATTATCGCTTCCAAACTGCTTCCTTGTATTGTGGCTCATAATTGAAAAGATGTAGCGAAAGAAAAAGCTGAACTCTGGAGTTGGAAAAATAGCAGTTCCAGTTAAGGCTAACCAAACTGTCTCTACACTTCATTGATATTTATCCAGGTTAACCAGACAATATGCAAAATGCTTCTGATGTGTAATTCCGTTACTGTGGACTGGCTTCCCCGTCTGCCCCGTTAGAACCTTCTACGCTGATGATTACCTGCCATGGAACTGTGATCACTCCTGTTTGATAATTAAACAATAGCTGCATCCCAACGGAAGCAAATGACCTTGACAATTCTGAGAGAGAGAATTTTCTTCTAGTATATACCATTCGAGCCTTCATATTCTTGTAGAGCACAGAAACATGCACTTGTAATGGCTTTTTGGGGAAATCCTTGGTATTGACATTTGTTCGCTATTGTTTGTATGTCTGCACTGTCTGTGGACGTGGTGAACCAGTGTGAACTTATATGAGGAATTTACTGAATATCTTTCTCTGCCTGTCTATTAGATGGACGGAGTGGAATGCCTGTAGAATGGCTTACTTTCCTTATTTTATTTCATTACAGCTAATGTTTCTGATCGTATAACGGAGGATGTTGATTTTCAAGTGCCCGAATCTTGACGAAGCATAGTCAGGGGCGCATCCAGAAATTGAGTAGGGGGGGTTTCCGGGCAACCAGGAAACCCCCCCTGGGTGCGCCATGGAATAGTATATACCGTACTACTGTATATCGATAATACAGGTATATAAAATTGGACTGGATATGTAGAGTATATTAATGACCAGCTTAGTACGCTAAATTATAAATAAGTCTACACAAATAAGACAGAAAGTGTCTTGTAGTTGTTCATAATAATAATGGTATTGGAGATAAATTAGTTTCAGATAAGGTGCGTTAGGTTTGAGTACTTGTAGGTAGTAAAGATGTGTTGGTGTTTGAATGTATTATTCCACTTCAACAACTAGGGTCTTTGAGCGCGTATTCTGCAGTGATTTAGTACCTAAGATAGTCACCATGCAATTGTTAAAAATTCCTCGTCATAATTATATACTGTACATAACTAGTAATTATAGTACAGTACATACATTTTTACCATGTTAAGTGGGTAAGTCGACGATGAAGGTCGGCGGAAGAGTGTCTACAGTCGTTCAAAAACTATCCTTACAAAATGGTGTGAGGCAATATGACAGTGGACGACCCCCAAAGTACAGTGCAGAGAGTTTTTTTTTATCGACTATACATACAGTGCTCATAAGGCTTTGGTACTGTATGTACAGTCGGGGTCAAAAGTTTTCTACCGCCCAAAATGAAGCAGAATCGACCCCAAATGAGATCGAACAGTCAGGGTAAGACAGTTCGGAGACTCATTCCCGTGACTCAATTTTACGACGGAGAGAGAACTTTTGCCCCCGACTGTACATTAATTTTTTTTTGTATCTATGAAAAGGCGTTAATATATGCATTTAACCTTTTTATGGTTTGAATAAGCATTTGGATATATGTAAATCAACAAGGAAATGCCAAGTATAATGTTAAAGTATATAGTTGATGAGATTTATAGGTACTTTTTAATCTTTTACTACATATAGTCATTATAAGTAACTGTAATACTACCGTTCTTCCAAGGAGGAATATTGAACTTTGACGATAAGAAACACGGGGTCTTTCTTCCTCTTAGCTAACGTTGTGTCGTAGTTTAAGTGACATATGTAACTCCTCTCACTCTCGCACACACACACACGTTCGTACCAATCATATTGTGTTTGCACCTGTTCCGCGTCAGAGGAGGAAAAACAAAGGAACAATGCTCACAAGTGCCTGAAGCTTATCCACGTTGTTGTGTTGGAGGTCATCCGTGTTGGAGGTCAGCTCTCTCTCTCTCTCTCTCTCTCTCTCTCTCTCTCTCTCTCTCTCTCTCTCTCTCGCTCTTGTACCATTACAGACTACAGAGATAACTAGACTGGTGTTTGTGTGGTGATGGTGAAGCAGGTAGATGTGCCGTGGTAGTATTGCAGCTGGTAGTATGGTGTTGATGCCGGTGTTTGTGTGGTGGTATTGTGTGTGTGTGTGAGGAAGCATTATTCGGAGGTGCTTGTAAAGTCACGTTCTGAAGTTTGTTGTTGTTATCCTGTGTTTACCGTCAAGGTCTTCTGTAGATGCACATTGCCTGAGGTGATGTTATTAAATGACTGTGGGTTGACGAGCCCCACTGCACTCCACACCAATAAAATATTTTCCCTTTTGGAGCAATACCAGCTTCAGATTTCATACACTAATTCTTTAAAAAATCTCAACGATTTCGAATATGTTAGTTACATTTATTTGATGGAAAACTACGCAGCATGTACAGTATATCATTTGCCATCATCTTCGGTTTGTCCATAAACTCTCATTGTGTTTCTTCATTTTCATTCATCTTCATGATTTTTTTTATGTTGGGCCTTTGTTGTGTATTATTGTTACTTCATATTTATTTGTCTCATAATTTTCATTATTTTTACAGGGGAATCTCACACCTGTCTCTGTCAAGATGATGGCGGAATGGGCGACACCTCTCTTAATATCGTCGCTGCGGCTTGTGGTCATTTCCTCACTCTTCTTAGCCAATTGTGTTGCTCTATTCCGTGTCTCCTACCACCCCAAGCATACCCGAGGTGAGGTTCTCTGGGGTTGTGAGGATAATGGAACACTAGTGAGTAGTAGAGCTTTAATGAGTGGTAGAGCTCTAATGAGTAGTAGAGCTCTAGTGAGTAGTAGAGCTGTAGTGAGAAGTAGAGCTCTTTTGAGAAGCAGAGCTCTCGTGACAAGTAGAGCTCTATTGAGTAGTAGAGCTGTAGTGAGTAGTAGAGCTGTAGTGAGAAGTAGAGCTCTTTTGAGAAGCAGAGCTCTCGTGACAAGTAGAGCTCTATTGAGTAGTAGAGCTGTAGTGAGTAGTAGAGCTGTAGTGAGAAGTAGAGCTCTTTTGAGAAGTAGAGCTCTTTTGAGAAGCAGAGCTCTCGTGACAAGTAGAGCTCTAGTGAGTAGTAGAGCTGTAGTGAGTAGTAGAGCTGTAGTGAGAAGTAGAGCTCTTTTGAGAAGTAGAGCTCTTTTGAGAAGTAGAGCTCTTTTGAGAAGTAGAGCTCTTTTGAGAAGTAGAGCTGTAGTGAGTAGTAGAGCTGTAGTGAGTAGTAGAGCTGTAGTGAGTAGTAGAGCTGTAGTGAGTAGTAGAGCTGTAGTGAGTAGTAGAGCTGTAGTGAGTAGTAGAGCTGTAGTGAGTAGTAGAGCTCTAGTGAGTAGTAGAGCTGTAGTGAGTAGTAGAGCTGTAGTGAGTAGTAGAGCTCTAGTGAGTAGTAGAGCTCTAGTGAGTAGTACTTGCTCTTTTTTGGCAACCAACAAGGATCCAACTTCATCTATTTTCGTCTCTAGGTTTCTTATTCCCTTATGATCTGCAATAACCTCGTCTGCTTTGGTTATGCAGTCAGGACAATACCAGCAACAGCCTTTATGCTTTACTGCATTATGCAACGTCCTAAACGTTGACGTGGTCAGACCCACCACAATCCGCCCTAGATGTCGTCTCCTTGCAGTGACCCTGGGGTTTTAACCCCTGATTCCCTATATCTTTGCATGTCCTGTCACAAACTGTCTTCTTCCTTTTAGAGCTCTAGTGTGTGTGGTAGAGTAGTAGAGCTTTAGTGAGTGGTTAGAGCTCTAATGAGTAGTAGAGCTTTGGTGGGTCATAGAGCTCTGGTGAGTAGTAGAGCTCTAGTGGGTTGTAGAGTTTTGGTTTAGGTAAGTATAATTTACAATCATTAAGTTTTACAGTTCATTTGAATTATATTATTTAAAGAGACTTTTGAGAACCTTTGCAGTGTGAAAATTAAATGAGATTCGTGAATTTTTTCTCTTTTTTTCAGGACCTCGAACTCATGAACGTATCTCTATCATCACAATCCTGTTCCTCGGTGTTATATACCTGATGGTCATCTGGGCTCCCTTCACACTGTCAGCCTTCAGACATGATCTTGTGGACCTGCAAAAGGCTGGAGATGTGAAGGCTAGCATACAACACAATACTCCAGATTTCAAGAATGAAGACATAGGGATTGTAGTTGAATACATAGATATGCGAAAAGGTCAGGCACTGGCAGAAGAGACAAAACTGCAGAATCGAGTAGTAAGGGCAACACAGGAGAAACACAAGGGAGGCTTCAATTTTATATTCAGCTCAAATGCCAACAGTGTCTTTGAGGAAAGTAACAGTGACTCATCACAACCCTCCATGCAACCAGTTTCACCATGGACAGCTCAGTCAAGTGCAGATAAGAAGAATTCACAGAGCAGCTGGAACACTGATGTGCAAGACCTGGAAACCTCATCATGTGCCTATAGTCTTGCACTCACTGGTGTCCTTAGGCTGGTCATCACACGGAGGGTGAGCATGTTGCAGAGTACAGTACTGGGCATAAATAAATTATACCAAAGAAAAGGTTTGAAAATGGTGCTAGTATATATATATATATATATATATATATATATATATATATATATATATATATATATATATATATATATATATATATATATATATATATATATATATATATATATATATATATATATATATATATATATATATATATATATATATATATATATATATATATATATATATATATATATATATTCCAGAATTATGCATTACTGTATTTCATCTCTCAAACCCGGAAAAAATCTGCAATCTTCAGAAATTTTCCGGGTACCTGGAAAATCTTCTTGGAATTTTCCAGAAAATATGCCCGTCAGAAAATCGTTCCTAAACCTGGAATTTTCTGGAAAATTCTGGCTTTAGGAACGATTTTCCAAGAAAATTTCAATTTGGCTATTGGAGATTCCGGTTGTTGGTAAGTGTATATACATCAACATTTTATCAAGTGCCATTTATTTAAGCAGTGCAGTTTTTGTGTATACACTACTGTACTGTATTTTGTTCCAAAAGTGGTGACAAGCTGTCACAGGTGTGCATATTGTGCTCCACAATTCTAATGTTCCCATATCCTCCACAGACTGTCTTGCGTACAACTCGGTCCCTTTCCATGGCCATTGGTTCCTTCTTGCTGGTGTTCGTGCCTGCCCTCACCACAGGACTCATCAGGGTAGTTGGAAGGACCACAGCTCACTTTGCTCTCCATGAGCCTGAAGTGACAGAAACTGGCTACACTATATGTGAGATTCCTCCATTGTTTTCATTCCCTCCATTGTATAGTATATGTAGAGAATGGAGATTTTTGGTTTACACTGATCGTCCATGTATCCATACTATCCAAAATAAATTCATCATAAAGTAATCAAACATATTTAGGTTTCTTTGTTTACTTCCTTGGATAAACTAACATGATTTCAAAGGTATTTGATTACTTTTGTACCCATATACTGTGGTTCATTACCACTCTGTTAGTTTATTATTTGGCATGAGCTACCAGTAATTAAAAAAAAAATGGTTCTTTTATTGTACATTTCATCAAACACAATTTTATGAGAAACTGATAAATTTAAAAGAAAGAAGTAGACATTTAATAAATTTTTAACAATTTCTTGCAAATTTCATCTGGTATAAGAAAGCTGATGAATATAGAAAAGAATGTTGTAATTCAGAAGGTTAGGTGTAATTCTTGACTAATTTGCTAAGTACATTACTACTGTATAGGTATGACAATAAATGAACTGTTTAAGAGAGTTGTTTTAAACCCTGATGATAACCATTTATTTTTTCAGACAATATTATCTGTGATGTACACATAACGGAGGCATATGTGCTGAGTCTGTTCTTAGAGTGGGCAGCGCTGTTCACCTTGGCAATTATACTGCTGGGTGTGGGTCTTGCCTGCAGGTTGGAGAAGGACAAGAAAGACTGTGATGAGAACACACCAGATGATGAGGGGACCAGTATGTATTGTTCTACTTGATTGACATTGTTGCATAATGCTTGTGATGATGGCTTGAGTGGTTGTATGGTGTATTGCAATCCTGTGCAGTACTGTACTTTATTTGACATATATGTGATCTTTCTGTCTTTAATAATGAAAACAAGTCCAGAAAACTGTGAAGGATAACCTTTTTGGATTGAGAGTTGTGAACTCTTGGAACAATCTGCCAGAGAGTGCTGTGATGGCACCAAGTGTGAGCTCTTTCAATACCAGACTTGGCAAGCATTGGAGCAGGTTCAGATACATTCAGGAGCCAGTGCATGCCCCGTACTTGCCACCAACAATGCATAACAGAGACGTGATTGACCGCCTAAGTGGCTAATGAGCTGATCAGTGGCAAAGAGGATAAAAGTAAAGTTATCAAAATTCAAATCCAGTGAATGCAAAACACGTCAAAATGTAAATACGCACCGTGCATTAGATTTACTGTTGGTGCTTTATGTCTTGGCGCAATTTCTCAGTAAGATTTTTCAGAGGTATAACCGGAATACTGTACAATACTGTACAGTATTATTATTGTACTGCATGCATTTCTTTTTTTATGTTTAGTATTGGCTTATAATCAGCTTACAGAAGGTTTTTCAGGAATTGATCTCTTTCGTAAATCTGTGTCTACCTGTACATTATGTATCTATCTCACAAATATATCATGGGACAAATATGGAGTAATACTTTTCATTCCTCAGGCTGTGGTAGTGTGGAGACCTGGGCTCGTGACTCTATTCTCCTGCTGGGCGCATGTTGGGCTTGGCCAGTTAAACCTCTGCTCGTACTTATCCTGTACTGCCAGTATGGAACGGTAGGTTTTTACAAGTTCATAAACCAGGAACTGCCTGTAGTATATATTATTATGTTAAACAACATTGTATACAGCAGATAAAATAATTTTTAATGAAAATCACTTCTGCATTCAGCTGGGGTTTACACAAATTGACCGTGTCTGCTGCTGCTCCAAATACAATTCTCTTACTCCTATATGGAGCTCAACTGGCTCTCCATCTTCAGTAAAAACTCTTTGAGTGAATTGTGTCAACTGCTGTTGAACAAATTGGTGGATTGGGCAGAAATCCTTAGCTTGTCTACACATATCTTGTGGCCTGCATTTTCAAATTCATACCGATACTTTTTCTTGACAGTAATATATCACTTGCAGACCTTTTTCCAGACATTATGGATCAAAACTCTGTTTTTAAAAGTTTGCAACCTGATAAAGTAAACACTAATCTGCCAGAAGTGCCAAGTGGTAATCAGTGAGCCAGTCTCATTTGCATAGCACACAGCTCAAGAGAAAAAACAAAGATGTTGCATATTGCATTGAACTAAACATTTTAGAGATTTTGTTAAATTTTGTTTTACGATAAAAACATTTTCAATAACAATGAGTATTATAATGAAGTGGGATTTAAAGTGGTATGATTGTACAGTATTCAATAATACAGAACAAAACATCATCTAGTTTTATGGTAACTATTGTGCATTATTCTCCTTCAGCATTGGACTAACGTGGTGTGTTGGCTGGCAAATGTAGTTGCAGCCATTCCAGTCGTATTCATGCCCCTAGCAGTCTTCTTGTCAAGACCCCAGAAACATGTTGGAACACCTGTTGATCTAGTCATCGTTTCCCCTGAATTGGTCACACCTGAATCTGAAGGTAAAATTGATGAGAAACCTTGTGACCTGATCACTATCAAACAAACCAGTGATGATAATCAGCAGAAAGTAAGTACTTCTGATTATGATGAAATTGGGGATAGTAACAGTGGGTATATCACAGATGAAGGAAAAAGAAATTTCACAATTGAAGAATATGTGGAAGATACTGACAATGTGTTATTGACATCAACACAGGTAGATGATAATTATGTCCGAGATAATCTTGAGTTCTACTTAGGTACAGATATCCTGAAGAACAGCAGGAAATCCACTCCCAAGGATGATGATAAATGTATGATTCTTGAGGAAGAATGGGGTTACTCGGACAGTGAGGTGTGAAAATATTGATATGATCACAAACTGACTTTGCAAAGTAATTGCACTATACACACATTTATCTCTATTACCAGTTTTATTTATTGTGACATTTAGGTTGAAAATTTTTCACCTTTTTTTATTGTAGCATTCAGTTTGTTACTCTTCATTAAATTTTAGATGGTAAAATTTTATATTTTAATTTGCTTCATGATGCAACACCACCACTCAGTATCTATGCTACCAGTAAGACTTCAAGATGAGTCACATGACTGAAAAGCTTTTATACTGTACTCCTATTTTATAAGAGGCATTAGTAATTGCATTTTTGTAAACAGCAGTGTACAGTTGACCAAGATGTATTACCTACTACCCTGTCCATATTTATATCTTAAGTCAATGAAGGGGACAATAAAGCAATCTTGTCTATAAACACTTTTTGTATCAGTCTCCACAGTTCCGTCCAACAAGAGTTGTGCTAGGTGGTACACCATTCAAATTTGCTGAGGTTAAAATAATGCATAAAATGTACTATTACTGGTACCAATACAACTTACATCAGCATAAATCAAGCCCAGGCTTACGGGACCTCTTTATGACAAAGTGTTAGCGCTATGGTACAAGTTTACTGTACCGTGACACAGAAATAAGTAGATTAGCAGAAAAAGCAAAGAGAAAATTGTATTCTATAGGCCTAATGATACCTGTCCCTAACCATCGAAGCTGCCAGACTATCGGGTCCGGATTAACTAGGTCCAACCTGTACCTGGTTACCTCATCTCTCGCCTAGTCACCTCACTCTTCGCCCCACCTCGCAATGTATTACATTTATTTATTACTGTATTATTTACCTTATTATTTCTTTATGTACATTACAGTACATTTAGAAAAATATTTGTTAGCACAGTATAATTATAAATAGAATATTTTATGTAGAAGCCAAGGCATGGTAACTGAGTATGTTTGCTGGTTGGAATAATGAGGAACAATCTTTAGAATGACCATATAAGGTGCAAAACTGAACAGAAATGAATGAATAATTAATTGAACACAAGAATTAAAAAATTGTCGAATAATGTCATAATATTCCATACTCGTTTAATTTGGATTTTTCAGTAATTCGAGTGATCCAGAGCCGCCTCTTTGTTGAATTAATGAGGTTATAGAGTATTTCCGAGTAGTTAAGGGATGTTAATTATCTACTGTACACAGGTTTTAGAAGAACAGGCATCTATTATTCACACAACCATGGGACTGAATTATTGAACTACAAGAACCCTTAATCCAGCAAAGTACAAAGTCAACATGATTGACAAACCATTTTAATACATTTTAATACTATGTCAGGGAAGGAGACTACTGTATTATATTACTGTAGGACAGAAAACCCAGATTAATACTTGCAAAGAGAATTTACCAAATTTAAATATTTTTTTTAATGGTTTAGTTGTATTTATTTTTACGTCTATAATGATTACTGTACTCAGCCCATAAACTTCTTATTACAGGTGGCAATCAATTGCAGCTTCTTAATAATTATACACCCTGTATTTATTAACTGTTCGACATTTTCTGGCACCATTTTATGATGGCATGCATTATTTATGTAGTATTTATGTACAAACTTTCAAGATGTTTACTCTGCACAATTGGGAACAATTGTTTTTGCTTGTTACTGGGTGTAGAATAAATATATTTAAAAATTCATTTGTATTTTATTATTTATTACTGATAGTTTTCAGAAATTATACCTATGCCCTGTTCACTTAACCCAATACTCTTATTGGATTCTCTGAGGTCTGTAGATCAAGGAAATACAGCTTCAGTATTGAACTGTCATCACGTTCTCTCACAAACACCAGATCAGTAATCCCAGAGTGTTGTGACGGCACTGAGTGTGAGCTCTTTCAAGACAAGACTTGACCAACACTGGAGCGGGTTCAGGTACATTCAGGAGCCGGTGCAAGCCCAGTATTTGCCAACAGTGCGTGACAGAGACGTGACCGATCGCCCGGGCGGCTAGCGAGCCGATCTTTTGTGAAGAAGATAAATGAAAAGGAAAAGTAATCAGAGACGTGACCGATCGCCCGGGCGGCTAGCGAGCCGATCTTTTGGTGAAGAAGATAAATGAAAAGGAAAAGTAATCAGAGACGTGACTGAACGCCCAACAAGCCGATCAGTGGCGAAGAGGATAAAAGTTAACACAATTTACTCTACACCCAAAGATAGATGAAGCTTTCAACTTATACTCAATACACCTTGAATGTTTTATATCACTGTAGGTACTGTATATCTGACTTATGGCTACTCACACAGGTTATCTCATAACTTAAAATTTACATTACAGAAGTGACTTCAGGACTTTCAATAGAAAACTGATTTGACCTCTTGCTAGGGAAAAGAAGTCTCTTCCTCGGGGTAACTCATTAGTTTCACACATGTTTTGTGGACGGTGGAGCATAATATGAATAATTAAGTGTTGAAATTACTAGCCATGCAATTGTGACCATGACACCATTACCTTATAAGGTGTGTTGTTGAATTACATAGCTGTTTTAATTAGCTGACAAAAAACTCAAAGTAAAGAAATGTTATAATACTTTTCACTTTTTTGGTACAATTTATTAATACGTATATACATTTTATTGTCGGTGAGCATCAGATGACTGGATATAATGATTGATTTTCAGAGTACAGTTCTGTTATCCACGTAAGCATGTCAAGAGAAATTGTCGCTGGTAGGCATAGTTGGTGGGCACAAATACTGTACAGTCACTCACAATGTCAGTGCTTGAATTGGCTCCCCATTGTCAACTGAAGTTGTGATATATATTCATAATGGCATTGTGAGTGACTATTTGTGCCGGTGAATTACGCGATGTAACTTTGGTTTTTCTTATATTTTGGGCAATATTATTATTTTCTTTTGTCAGACGTGGCAAGATAAATGTCTCACTGTCTTTTGTATGTCTTGATATTGAATGACATTGCAGAATTAAAAATCTACAAGAAATTTTCCCTCGCGTCTTTGAAACAAGCACGGTGTTGACACCTGAAACCCACGTACTGATGTACTTAACTCATTTTTTCAAGATTATTAAATATGTTCAGAGTTCTTTTTGGCCACATATAGCAAGATGAATGTCTCGCCTTCTTGTAGATACCTGGATATCGACAACATTCCAGAATTAAGGAGATACAAAAGAAATATGAACTCGGCTAGCTTAATGTGTTTACTTTATCAGAACGCTTGTTGGCATTTATCCATTTATCAAAAGTTTTCTTATCTCTGGGATATCTGTAATGCTTGATGTGCTCTCTGCTTGGGATTTGAGATTTGCTGGTACACCCGTATATTGCAGCAATAACCATAATTGTTGATACACTTCATGGGAGCAAGGTGCGGGCACACACGGAGGTCACCAGATGATGTGGGTTTGCAACAGTGACGTCTCCGAGCTGTGCATTGTGGGTAAAAAAGTGCTTGGTGAACTATCCTTACTATTATTTTATCCTTGCTGGAGAGGAGCCGGGGGTCGGTACAAGCACGTCCGGTTAAGATGGAGTGAAAGGGAAACATCCGGCCTCTTAACAATTTAGGAACCAGATTCTTCAAAAATTTTTTCCTAACATGTGGTGGAAAGAATGAGTCCCAGATACAGTTAGAGGTTTAGTGTAGCTTAGACACCACCTTCGTGTTGTAACTAAAATGAGTTGGTAATCTCTGTTTTCCTATTACCAGTTGAGGGAAAATCTATGTATGAATTTTTGAGAACTTATATTTGCGTCTCTTAGCTTAAGTAAACCATCGAAATGTGTTCTCACACCACCATTTACACGTACATTTAACATCAAACCTTTGCATTGTAGCTTAAGGGAATTAGTTACAGACCTACCACCAGTTAAGAGAAAATTTTAATGTACGAATCTTTTTTTGAAACTGTGACGTGAATCAATCTGACATAATCTCGCAGCATTTAAGATATACAGTAATATGAAATCGGCAGATCTTTGCAGCTGTGGATTTGTTACTTAAAAGGCCAGGAGCCTTAAGGTGTGCACCCAGTTTAGAACAATAAGCTTAATAAATCATCCATGTAACAGAGACGTGACCGATCGCCCAAGCGGCTAACGAGCCAATCAGTGGTGAAGAGGATAAAAAAAGGTATGAAAAGTTTTATTAAACATAATTGTAAGTAGAATAAAGTTTAGAATAGAAAGTTAGTTATCTGAAAAGCAAATGGATTTAGAAATGGAAAAGGAACTAACCTAATCCCTTCAAGCAGTGTTAGGGTGTTTTATCACGCGATATATGCGAGTGTCTAATGTCCAGGTGCGCCTCGCTGACGCACAAACAACCTCTACATTAACACGTATTTACAGACTTCTTTTAACTACATAAGTTCACTTAGCACCAATTAAAGAACAACGTTAGCATTAAGAAACTTTGTGAATCCGAACAAAAAAAACACTATAGTTTACGGATGATACCAAGTTATCCAGGGCACTTCGGCACCTCAGCTATCTACAGAGATTAGAGCGTCTCCAACTGGCTATAGCTAAGCTAGTTTATACTACAGACGGGCAAGGGGGGGGGGGGGACCTAATTGAGGTGTATAAACATCTCAAAGGGCACTACTCAGTACTCAGTCGAGTGTCCATACCAGGAGCTAGCGGACGCCTACCCTACACGGGGTCACAGTTCAAGGTTGAAGAAGGTGCAAGTCCAGAAAACTGTAAAGGGTGACTTTTTCGGAGTGAGAGTTGTGAACTCTTGGAACAAGCTGCCAGAGAGTGTTGTGACCACTGAGTGTGAGCTCTTTCAAGACCAGATTTGATCAACACTGGAACAGGTTCAGGTACATTCAGGAGCCGTTGCATGTCCAGTACCTGCCAACAGTGAGTGACAGAGACGTGACCGACCGCCCAAGCCGACCAGGTCCGGGACTCTTATGAACCTTAGCTTTGATAGTCTATTAATTTCTTATAACCTCTGCTGTGGACACAATGTGGGTCAGTGCTGTGTCATACTGTCTGTCCTCAAACACAGGAAGATTGTTCGTATCATCATTTCATCAACAATATCTGGAGAAACCCCTCCTCACCGACCCTTTAATCACTGTGATGAGATCGGGTGGGGGATTTAGGGTTCGGACTGTTCGGAGGTTCGGTTATGGGCTCAGTCGGTCGGTGTGGGTTTGTTGACGGTCGGTCGGTGTGGGCTCGCTCGGTGTGGGCGCGCTCGGGTGTGTACTGTGCTGGTGCCTCGCCTCTGCACTTCATTCACACGGGGTAATTACTGTATTCCATATTTTTTTCTTCTTAGATTTCGGAGTGACTGACTGACGGTGTAGTTATAGAGAGGCTGTAGAAGTTGACGGAAGAAGTAACCGAAAGTGAGTGAATGAAATTATAAGGCTCAACCAAGACATTGGGCACACCATTGGTACACAATAATAAAACTATTGGAAGCATGTGTGATAATATACGGTGAATATTCCGTGTTCACCATGCACGAGACTATATTGATTTTTATATAAAGAGAAAGAGCAAAAATTAGAATATTTCTTAATGTTGTCTGAATTTTTTTTTTTTAGTTTCATTGACTTTGATTTACACTTAAAAACATGCAATTTTGATACACATAGTGGGCAGGAGTTTGAAGTGAGGGAAATTGTGAGGTAAAAACATGCTGCACAAAACCATCCCCAAGCACTTAACCTAACTACTCTCAAATATCAGTCTGTACCTGTATACATGTCTAACCTAACCAGAGAAATCAGAAGGACCTGACCTAACCCGGACCCCTCGGTAAATTTACAGTTTCAGCCACAACTACTGTTCAACCACAATTTTTTGTTTCTCCCATGGTATCTGGTGCGATTCATTCGAATTTGACCTTCATTTCCGTCGGAAATGAGTCGTTTTGGACTTATCATCCCCCCCATACAACCTGATCTAACCAATCAAAGAAACCTACCTAACCTTACCTAACTTCCTAGCTGTCTCCACTATATTAAACAGAAAATGCTTATTTTGATATCTGGTACCGGTTAATATTTGTCCATTGGCTGTCTGCAGTTTTCCAATTTTCAATATTACAGACACAAAGGCTATAAAAAAACAAACAAATGACTTCATATCATTTCTTGTGCAAATCAATATTAACGTACAATAGTATCTCACAAATTTCTAGGCATAAATTTTTGTACCTGCCATGTTGCCAGAGTCACTTCTCTCCTCCTCCTCTTTGCGACATGACAACCAATGATCTTCAAGTATCGTGTCAAGTGAATTAGCTGGCTAATCATTTTGAAGCAGCCATTTTGAAGGCTCGTGATGGTGTGAAAAAAGTGCTCTCCCTTATCTAGCTGTTATTCAGCGAGTTTATCAGAACAATAGTGAAGCAATCCAAATATTACAAGATCACGGTGTCCTACCAACATCAAGACTGTCTTACACGTGGAAATTGTTAACTTTTAAGAAAAGACAGAAAGTCTTGTCTGTAACCATAAGTGTACCAGGTCACCCAGCTGTATCCACCACAGTAGCAGGTAAGCTCAAAAAAATGGTTAAGTAATTTTTTTTTTCTTTTGTGTTTTATGGTGTTATTTACTCAAACCTGACCACCATTTTTGTGCATGCTAGTGGTTTCTGTTACAAATGAAAATGTTAATAAAAAGAAAAAAAACTCTAATTTGCGCAAGAATTGAAGGTCAGATTTGAGTAAAATGCACCATAAAACACCCCAAAAAATAATTTTTGTATCAAAACCTGAGGACAGCCAATGGACGAATATTTACCCTGGTACCAATGAAAGCAACTTTGTTGAAGCATCATGGTGCAATTTGACATATTTTGTGGACGCGAGAGGAAGCTCAGACTGAACAGGTCGGCTGTAAACAAACAGGGTAGACAATAACACATGCCATTATCATACCAACAATGGCTGATATCATTTAACCTAATCAAATGTTTAAGAGTAAATACGGTATATTAAAAAAAAATAAGCATTTGCACAAGAAACGTTACCTTTAAATACATTATCTACTCGTAATTAAGAATATAACATATACAGTACAGTACAGTACAGTACAGTACAGTACAGTACTGTACTGTATAGGGTAGTCAGAAACACTAGAAGAGGAATGGGTCAAAGACGAATATTAATCACCTTGTAGCCTACAGTGTGAAGAGCTGCCATCGGGTAATCGCAGCTAACCCACCCAAGCATGGAAAATGGCCTTAAATATTCATGATGATGATGGTGATATGATTTTTATTGTTGTGCAAACAATGTTATATTTGATATTGTAGCTATTTATTATCTTGCAGATGTTACGTTGTGCTGTACGGCGGCTGGACTTGGTAACTGCACCTGTTGGGGCACGTTTCAGGTCACATTCGAAGGTGAGGAAACCGCGCTTTCCAAAACTGCCGGCTACTCCAGTCATATCAAAAACATCATCAATCACCTGGTCGTCGGGAGAAGTAACACATCCAGCTCCATTGGATTGTCCCTTAGGAAATAAGGGAGATTATCCTCAGGAACTTCCAGATGGTGGTCGTCAATATTTTGGATTTCAATATTACCCAAGGTAGACTTAAAGATTTAAATGAGCATATATACAGGTATTGACTACTTGAAAGATTTGTCCTTATTAATGTTTTTTTGTTTTAATAAGAAATGTATTGTCTACAGTATTCTCTTACTACCACCTTACTACCCAGTTTTAATTATGTATGTTTTGTTCAAGTACTTCAGTGGTATAATGTACTAAATGAGAGGTCCTTCATTGAAGAATACTTTTTAAAGAGCTAATATCAATATGACTGGAATAAGAAAATGACACGAGATGACTATAGAGGAAATTGGAGTAATATAGGCAGTTCACTTGTGGAGTCCAAAATAATACAACCTCTCAGAACCCAGTTTGACATAGGTAGAAGTAGGCTGAGTGCATTTATTGATGCAAATAATTGAGTTGGTAACCTTTCGATACAGTAAACCCCCCCTGTTTACCTGGTAACTTGATTTGATTCAACACTTTCTCTATAACACAACTTCCTAAATTATATTCCCATTTTGTCAATTTAGCATGGTCAAGTTTAATTTTGCATGGTGCAAGCCTAGAGCTCATTAAATAAACAAATTATTATGATACAAGTATCCCTTACTATACGAATGTTCGAGATACGAAAATTCGCTTCTACAAATTTCATAGATTGTCACCCCTTTTTCATGTTACGAAAGATTCCCCTGCTTATTCAGATTTGGGTCCTAGCAAAAATTCAAATCACATGCCCCCAGAAGTAACCTGGGGTGGCCACATCCCACTTGTCCTTGGGGCCGAACCCTATTTTTCCCATATGATCTGTTATTCGAGATAGGGAAATTCACAACGAATGGGTTTTCAGGAACCTAACCCCATTCGTGTAGTGAGGGATACCTGTACTGAATATGAACAATATAACTTCTTCATGTACTGTATTGTTCAATGTTGATTTTCACTCTGAACAAAGCTTTTTGAGATTGTTTTTGATGGAACAAAAGTATCAATAAAAAATATGAAGATGTCAGAATGATGTGAAAACATCCAGAAATATTGAGGTTTACCATACGGTTTAGGTTCCTTGAAAACATTTGTGTATGTGAATATTCATATAGCGAGTAACACAATAATGATATTTATTCAGTGAAGTTGTCATACAGGTTTACAATTGGATTAGCATGTTTATAAACTAATATAGACAATGTAGATATACAGTGCATGTAGGCTGTGGAACTATTCAGTTTCCTGTGTGTTGAGACAGTGCAGGTAAATGATAGACTTCAAAAAGCATTACTTTGCGCTTGGACGATTTGAGGCTGGCGGATTACTACCACAGTTCTACATTCTGTGGTTTAATATAGACACTCACTCTCTTCTCTTGCTGTAGCTTCATCTTTCAAACAGGGAGGTACTGTACTTCTGCCTGGGAAGATATAGGAAGCATAATCATGTTGTCTATTGGTACACCCTGTTATATGGCTTCACAAAAATTGTGATCAAGTCCCAGGTTGCTGATCTGACTGACTTTCTGCCACATTTACACACAGTTGGAGGGTCTCAATTGTTTTTCTTACTTTGACAACACAACATATACAGTATATATTGTTTCGCACTGGATCTGTTTATTTTTCCATTTCTGTATTTAACTTTATTTTATGGTAAAATTTGTTTCTTCTTTTGCTATTATTTTGCACCCCCCCCCCTCCCAGGCCCCAATGTGGGTCAGTGACCTGTGCCCAGGTGGGCCAATCCCTCTTATAAAAAAATAGATCTAGCCTGTAATTACCATTTACTGTAGTACTACATGTATCTTTGTAAGTGATTCTTTTGGATTAGATACAACTGCCTACCATTTTGGGAGGACTACCTTCTTATACAAAAATTGAACTACCCAAAACTATTTGTTATAAAGAGATAAAGGCTTTTTTTAGTGAATGAATTATCATACATTTCTTTGTTGTTTGTCACCTAAAATTCTTGGCAAAAATTTTTATCCATTCCTTTTCAAGCTGTTGAGGTAATCCTTCTGCTCCAAGGTCAGAAACACTTTCTTTGATTTTCTACATTGGGTGAATCTTAAACAAAACCATTCATTCATGATTGAATTCATGAACTATCCACTAATTATTGGAACCCCCATTCTCTTTAAAACCGATTTTTAATTAGAAGTTGATTTGTTCTCTATGAAGGGTCTTATACAGTACTTGGCCTTGGCTCTTGTTGGTGTTCATATCATGCGATGGGGGGAGAGGTTGTGAGGACAGCAGTAGACCTTCCATTTGATAGTTAGGGCTGAACTTGCAGTTATCTAGACATATCTTCCCAACTTTTGCCCTTAAAGGGGAGATTGGCTGCATGGTTGCCCTCTAGAGGCACGAGATCTAAAAGACAGATGCGTTTACCTTCCCAGTACACACACGCGCCACATTTTGGGTTTAGAGTCTGTCTGCCATTGTGGTTTCAGTCACTTGTTGACTGCCATAAAGAACAGACAATTACCTCTTAGCTCTATTTTATTAATGTTCAGCTAAGTGTCGCATCTAGATTTGGTGGTGCTTTCAGGAGCAGTTAATGATGTTTATAGCATTTCTACCCATTAATATTAAGGGAAGATGGATAATTTGAAATAGTAATAATGTTTTTGTGATTTATGCAGGTTACGGAGAGCTGGTTTATGATTTTAGGAAATCATATGTCAGTCATCAGACAGCACAACCTGTTGGGTTTTAGCAGATCTGCATCTAACATCCCTGTGCCGTTGTTCCATGGAATTTTTTTTTATACAAACCTGTTATTTTCTGATTTGATCATATTGAAACCCTTCAGTAGGCTTTCCAGTACATTTTCCTGAGTAATGAAATAAATTGTTGGTACAGTACTGGATAAGAATTTTGCATTTATTTTTCATGATATGTATTTTGAAACAAGATTTAAAAGTGTGTGTTCAGTAAGCCTTTAATAACATCTCTCAGGTTCCCTGGTGAGGTAGATCCTCCCTATAAGCCAGCACCCCTTCACCTTGTCACCAGAGTTAGATGTCTCAAGAACAAGCCTTGGTGGGACAAGGATATCATGAAGAAACTTGGGCTTGATGGGAAGGTGGGTCTAAAATGGTTTGTTAGAATGTTGTATTGGAATATAAAGTTGTAGATGCTAATATGCAGTTGTTAGTTGTTCAGTAGATGAATGTTAATTTGAGGCGATCACATGAGTTTCATCAACAAATCTCTTACCACAACATCCTTACATGTGTTGAACGACCACAGGGACATCAAATATCTTGCTAATAGATCTATGTAGGCCAGCAAGCTACAGTATATTGGTTTTACATTGACAATTATCATTTTTATTTTGTCAGAGAAGTGATTATACAATTGTAAAGAACATTCCTGAAATCAATGCCATGTTGTGGAAAGTGAAATACCTGGTCAAGATTACCCCTATAAGAGTGCCTGCAGATCTTCCTGAAGAAGTTGACCCAAGATGCTGTTTCTTGAAGGTAAAATTTAATTTGTCTTTTTTCCTTAATTTAACAAAGTGAGAACTGTGTTGTAGAAAATATGAATCATTACAGACTTACTCATTCTTTTTTCTGAGAGTACTTGCTGTCCGGCTCATCGTGACACAGCTGATAATATATTCTTGGTTTCCTTTAAACCAATGTTCCCCAACCTTTTCAACACTGGGTCACACTTCCCACACCTCCAAGATTATTTGGTCACATTTCAAGTTTGTCATATGAGAAATGTCACAACTATTATGGGTATACAAGTATACTATTACAATAATAATTACGGTCACACTACACTCACAGTCAGCATAGTGAATGAAGCACATCAACTGAACCCTGTTTGTAAGATCCGAGGATTTGTCAAATTGCAATCCATAGCAGGGACTTTTCTCGACCTTTTCTGCTAGCTGTACAAGCAGGTCTTCAGCAATAATCAGTGTCCGTCGTTCAGTTGTTGTGGCTGAAACCTGTGTTGATGCCAAGCCTAGGTTAACACTTGTAAGCCTTTTGTACTATAAGTGGGTCTCTTTTTCTGACTTTGTTGCTACAGGAGATAGAGGAGCATTTAATGGTGATAAAGTCTCACTTAACTATCAAGTGACTGGAGAGTATTTAGTGATGGTACACTCCAGGAGAGAGTATTTATTGGTGATGAATCTTATATGTCTTTCAGGAGAAGAAAGATATTTAATGATAATGAATCCCATGTCTGTTTCAGGAGACTGGAGAATTTTCATATTCTCATGAGCTCAAGGTTGAAGATAGTACTCTTGAGGAGGACCCAAAGACCAATGCCACAAAGTGGGACAGAGATTTAATTGACAGTCATACTCGGAAGAACTGGAATTATCCTTGGCAGCTAAAACTGTGTTGATATGTGAAATGTGTTTGACTAGTTGGGATCCAAAACAGAAACTTTAATTCTGAGTTATTTCCTTTGAAATTGTTTCTTTACCAAGTGACCTCATACTACTTCCTTGTATAAGCTTAAGATGGTGTAGTTAAACAGTTTTTTTGTAATATGAAGATTCACAAATAAAACAAATAATATAAAGTACTATACAATACCATAAATGACAACTATTGGTATATCTGTGAAAGCATAGATTTATTTGTATACTAAATTATTGTGTAAAATATCAATGTTAATGTGCAGGCTTGTGTAAATAAACAGTCACATTTATTCCTGTTTTCTTTATTAGATTGTCTTTAGAAGTTTATGTACGACACGGAAAGTGAACGAGTTTTATGTGGTCGTTTGTTCACTTCATACAAAATATATTTCAGCAATATTATATAAACTACACATTATTAAGTGGGAAAAGGTTTGAAAGAAAAAATATGTAAAATGAAGAAAATGATGAATAACATGAAAAGGTGTTGTGTATGAAACCCTACAGCCAGGGAGCGTCTCTTATAATCTGGTTTTGCAGCTGTAAACTGGAATACTTTGTCTGTATCAACAGCTTTATGAATGTGACTACAGTAAGGCCCCTCTTAATGAGCAATTGCATTCTTGAAAAATGCTCATTAGGTGAATTTCCTTTCAGTGGGACCTTGTTTCTCATAGGATCCATGTTATAAACATGGAGATGTGTCCCATTGTCCCAGGAGCACAGTATGAGTACTCCTGAGCTTGCTGATTATGACTATGTGGTCCACGATTCGATTGCAGAGTAATTAGTGGCCAAAATGACCCTTGAAAGATTTTACTGACATTTTTCAATGCTAATTACTCATCAACTAAGGGTTTCCAAGGTGTGAGTTAGGGTTTGTGTTATTCTGAAAGTACTTAATTAGTTAAACCCCTTAAATTTCAATTCTGAGAAAAAAGTATATTTTTGGTGGTTTTGGGCTAAAAATTAGATTTAGCTGAAAATCACAGTACGGTATTTCATTGACCAAAGATCAACGACGTCATACAACGCCACTATTAGAAGCATTATAATATGCCCCTCCACCCTATCCTCTTGATCCATCCTCCCCTGCAGCCACTGGCAGGGGAGGGAGCTAAGCATTTTTCAATATAACTTAAGTTACTATAATCATTTTACACTTTCTGATCACAATTTAATCCTTCACCCCACACTATATTTCAAAGTGTACAGTATAGGTAAACTCTGTAGAGCATGTGTGTGTGTCCCCCAGGAGGTCAGGGCTGTAGGGCATGTGTGTGTGTCCCCCAGGAGGTCAGGGCTGTAGGGCATGTGTGTGTGTGTCCCCCAGGAGGTCAGGGCTGTAGGGCATGTGTGTGTGTGTCCCGCAGGAGGTCTGTGTATCTTGTAGGTGGGCAATACAGCAAGCGTGTCTGAAAATGTTAAACTTTTCAAACACTGCTCAGGTTGTTTACAGACTCCTTTCAAATTTGTGTTTATGTAGTCTCTTGATGTTTGTATTTTAGTCTCTTGGTGTTTGTGTTTTAGTTCCTTGGTGTTTGGTTTTACGTAGTCCCTTGATATTTGTGTTTTAGTCCCTTGATGTTTGTATTTAGTCCCTTGATGCTTGTGTTTACGTTGTCCCTTGATATTTGTGTTTATGTACTTCTTTTATGTTTGTGTTTTAGTCCCTTGATGCTTGTGGTTACAGAGTCCCCTGGTGTTTGTTTTTAAATAGTCCCTTGATGTTTGTGTTTACGTTGTCCCTTGATGCTTGTGTTTACAGAGCCCCATTGCAGAAGTTTCACATTCAAAACATGTGGGTATTTACTCCTTCATTTTCTACGTATAACTACTCATCATCATGTCCAATATGATACGGTTCTTAGGCTTGCAGGAATACATGTAAAGAACACATTATGTCCGTCCATGATACGTTCGAAATCACAGCGGTCATAGTGAAGAATAATTACTTACAGAAAATGACAGAACACGATATTTTGGACGTGTAACTTCGGCAAGCATAAATATCAAGGGATTATATAACAAATTTATCAAAGGAGTCCGTAAATACAAACATAAATTACTAATGTAAATACAAACAGCAACGGAATATGTAAACGCAAATATCAAGGAAATATTTAAGCCAAAACATCGAGGGACTTATGTCAATACAAATATCCAAGAACTCCGCCAATACACATAGCAAGGGCCAGTGTAAACACAATCATGACTAGTTTTAGCAAAAGAACTTAATTTATCTATGTATTCTACCTGTCTATCTATCCCTACATTAGACATGCGAGCCACCATAAATTACATCAGTTATCCCGCCAATACTATCCACTTTCTATAACAGTGCGTGGGTGGATATGACGTCAGACGCTTACGTCACTGTGAGGGAGGCGGAAACTTCCTCAGTGACGGGAGTCGATAGGGGTACAGAGGCGCCTGATATGCAAAAATGGTCTTCCAGGTACAATAAAATAAGGGTTATATTACCATGGTTGTCTTACATTAGCAAACAGACATTTGTGTGTTCAGTACGCAGAGTTCTTGAGCAGACAGGTCCGCGACTGTGTCTGGATTTTTAATGGTTCAATAAGTTAGTTTTTGATCCATATCGAACTGAAAGAAGATGAAGACGAAGAAGAAGCAGAGGTCCTCTTAATTACAGACCTTCACAAGTTAAATCATTTACCTCAATATTAGGCAACCAACCTTTTTATAAAATCGAGTCCTTACCCCAGCCTCTATAGATCGTTCAGAACACATGATTAATTCAACTGATTAATAAACTCAAGCCCTTAAGCAAGAGAGAGAGAGATAGAGAGAGTTTGGACAATGGCCCACAGTATAATACGCTCCTAAAACTTTATTTCGACGGTGTATGCTGAGAGTTGGAAGCCGCTCATAATACGTTCACCATAAGTTGACAAATATTATACGTTCACCGAGATCATATGTTTACTTTCTGATCTTTCCTCTTTTATCATTTCCCAATTTTTTCTTGAATTCTTCCTCATTCTTTTCATTCTTCTTCTGTTTTCCTTCCTCTCTCATTTTCTCCCTTTGTTCCCTTGTCTCATTCGTTTAATTTTCCTTTCTTTTGTTATCAAGCATCTTTGTCTTTCCACCTTTCATCTTATCTGTCTTTCTCCTTCTTTCATTTCCCCTTCCTTCTCTTTTCCCTCTCCCTGCTTCCTCCTTTCTCCCTTCTCACTCTCCCCCAACTCTTCTCTCTATCAACCTCGTCCTCTTTCATTTCTCTCTCTCTCCCTTATTCCTGCCTTCTTCATTCACTTCTCCTTCTCGACCTTTCTAGCTCCTTTCTCCTCCATTTCTCCCTTTCACCTCTCATCTCTCCTGTGTGGCTCCTCTCCTTCATTCCTCCCTTCCCCTCTCATCTCCCTGGTTTGTTCCTTCTCCCTTCACCCTCTTTAATTCCACCGTGTTCCTTCTCTCCTCTCCTTCAAGCAGTGGGTCTCAGCAGTCAGAGAGAGAGCCATCCCTACCTGCCTGGTCTCCTCGTTTGGGTCTAACACTGCCCGATAAACACCAATCATCTCCTGCACCTGATATGCAACCTGATAATTTTCCTGTGATTGGTCGAGCTCATTTAACTTAGCCACTCATTAGTCAGACGGAAATATTACGCTTCTCGAATGGTTGGGAGTATGTGGTGATGCGCTCTCTGATTGGTTGGGACGTGATTTCTGATTGGTTAGCGGCCAGTTAAGAAGTGTTGGTTGTATGAGAGTATGTTCCAAAGTCTGCTATTTCGTTTGGATTCCTGTAACAACGTCGTAGTCTGGTGCTTGTGACAAATTCTGATTGAATGGGAGCTTGTAACAAGGGTTTCGATTGGTGAGGAACACTCAATACTGTCCTAGACTGGAGGCACGGGACACGCTTACTGAATGGTAGATAATGTTCAACAGGACCTCATGTAACACAGTACCTCATTGGTCAGGAATCAGTAATACCAATCCTGATTCATTAGTAAGGTGCGATTCGTTACGTGATTGGCTAGGAGTATATAATTCGCGTCCTGATTGGTTAAGAGTTATGAATGCCATTACAGATAGGTTAAGGGCCTTCACACCTCACGGCAATTTCCCGTGACTACACGCGGCTGCAATTCAGTCCAGCTGTCGACTCCCTAGTGGCGAGACGTGTGGAAAACTTGTCCAAAGTTACTGACAGGTGGAATAGAGTTTCTCATATTGTATTCTCATGATGTAAATTGTTATGTAAACATTGTAACAGCTCATCAAATGTTGCCTTGAACATTTGAAAGTAGTTAAAAGATTTCACGTCATCCTCTCTTAGTTCTTCAAATAATTTTGCAAAGGCTCCCACTTTGTCTCTTTGCTCATTCAATGGATGTATCCAATGGATTCTGCATTGTCGCTTCGTTTTCCTTATATATAGAAGGTACAGATATCACAAACGCCTCCTGCGATCCATTGCCTTCCACTGGCACTGCTCAGCACAGACTGTAAACCATAGCGGACTGAACCGGAGCTATGTACGGCAGACCCGTTGGCTTCACGGCCGAAAACCCTCATCACTACAGCGCCGTGGCTGTTCACGGGCACGGCGAAAAACCATGCTGTGTGAAAAAGTCTGGTTTCACACTGACCGGACACGACACGACGCGACAAAAACATTTAACTGTCATGTCTGGTGGTGTCTATCTGCACTTTGTCGTGGAAAGTCAAATTCCATGCTCCGCAGGGTGAAGACGGCTGAGTGTGATGCAGGGAGGTTGATCTCACTCGCGTAAGAGAGGAAGACAATTTATGACTACACTATGAAGGGTCACAGCAATAGAAGAGTTGTGGCTAGACTTTGGAAGGAAATGTCATATGATCTGAATATCACCGGTATGTGATATATGTTTTATTAACTATACAGTAGCAAGGTGGGGTATAATATAGTACATCTCGACGACTACTTGACTGACTGAATGTGGTGTGGTGTCCCGCCAGTGTGAATTCAACCACCAGACACAACGTTTTGTTGTGTCGTGGCCAGGCAGTTGTGTCGTATCGTGACAGAGCAGTGTGAAACTAGCTTAATGGTCTGGCAACGAGGGTCACAAGTGTGACTGTGAAGCAACACTTGAAGACCATCCCCCATGTGTTAAGAATCTTGTCAATCAGATCACACAAGGAAGATACCGGGTTCGCTCAACGTAATATAGAAGTCGATTTATCTCTGAACGTATTTTTTTACAACACGACTGTACGCCGTGTGCAATATAGCTTATCATTGCAATTAAAAACATTATTTTTCCGATCAC